TGCAAACAGATTAAAAATGCAATTGCAAATTAAATGTAATTTAAAATTCCATCAAGAGAAATATGCAACGAATGGAAATAACGAACTGCGAAATGCCTTTTGATTGTTTATGCTTTGCCTTCCGCCTTGTACTCGCAATTAAATCAAGCTAAATGCCACGACGTGAATCTAAGGAATGAAACCACTGTTCAGATTTACAGAGTTCTATATCTGTCGATGTCTCTCACATTGCGCATTCCCTGAGCGATTATTGATTCGCCTCTGGCCATTTGTCTCTGGCGAATACAATATTTGGTAACTCATTTGGTAACATTTTGCTGTACATTCGGTATAGAGGTTTTTCATTGCTCTTAATCACGATATGCCGATAGGCACAAAGAGAAAGACAGGTGGAAAGTCCGGCCTGGCCTGAGTTAACTTTCTGACAGGCGATCAATTAAAATGTTTTCATAAATTTCACACACAGGTGTGCATGAGTTGCAAGCTCTGCTGTGCCTGTCGTGTATCTGTATCTGTGCCTGTGCTGGGAGAGGAGAGGAGAGGAGACCCAGAACCAGAACACGGCAACCAAACCGAATCGAATCGATCCATTGCCGCCAAACCCCAGCAATCTAAGCGAGCTCCATCGTGCACTACGCCTTCCCGACCGAATGACATATGCATATAGTGCAGTTCACTTTGTGGCACACATGGGTGGTGGATGGTTTGTCCTTCTACTATGTCTGTATGTGTGGTGTATGAAGGGAGTGGAAGGGGGAGGAAGGGTGGGAGGGAGTGTAGGGTATGGGCCATTTATGCCAAAATTTAATTTATAATTATTGCAAGCTTAATTTATGATCATTGACATGCTGCAACAGCAGCAGCAGCAGCAGCAGCAGCAGCCCCCATGCACACACAAGCACAAATGGACACGGACACCGATGTTGCAGCAACCGCATTCAAGCGGGAGTGGGGGCAGTGGGTGTGGACCAGTCAGCTATTGTGTCCATCCATCGTTCCCCTTTGCTGCCAACCCACCCCCCCATAGTTTGGGGTTCGCTGGTTGCAGATTGTCTGGCATTGTGTGCAAACTGCAACTGTTTCAAAAGTTTTCACACACACACACACACAGGCACACCCATATGTGCATGTGGAGTCTGGGGATGGGGCCTGGCATCCTTTGGGATCTGGCATAGAGTGAAGCTCGCCGCTTGAAGCGTGGAAAGTTAGCTGATATGCCGGCATCAACAACGATGCTGACGATGATGATGGGACGGTGCATGAGAATGGGAATGGATATGTGATGTGGGATATGGGATATGGGATATGGATTCTCTCTTGTTGTTGTCGAGCTCGAGCTCTGTGAAAGTTATAGCCACTCCTTGGGCATCCTGTCGAGTCTGTCGAGCTTTGCAGTTTGCACTCGCAGGTTAGGCCGGGAAAGCGATTCGATTGTGTGAAAGATTGAACTATGCCAAGGAGTCAGTCAGTCAGTCAATAGGAAATGAAAAATTTGACACTAATGACATTAGAGGGATATGTATACCGTTGTGTTCAAATTGTGAATGGCTTTAAGGTCTGTTTTGGCCTGCTTGTCGCTGACAATTAAAAATCAAATTCGCTCCGCTTTAACGCTTTGCCAAATGAGATTTTCTTTAGCTCCTCTTCGCTCGCTCTTTGCTTGTCATAACTTTGTTGAAGAACACAGGCCAAGAGGAGCGTAGAGTGGAGAGAGGAGAGCGGTGGAGCAGTGGCAGCAGCTAGTTTATGTCGCACAAATATCAAATGACAGACACCCAACAGGGTGCCCCCCCCCCCCCCCACTCGGTCTCCAGGGGGCTCAGCCACCCACCCTGTACGCCTGCCGTACATTCTCTTGGCTTCGTTTTGGATTTTTTGGCTTCAGTGCCAAAAATAAAAAACATAAGAGAAGGGAAAGGAAGTGAAGTGAAGTGAAGGGAAGGGGAAGAGAAGGAAAGCAGCAGGAGAAATATGGAAAATGGGAGCGAAAAGCGAAACTAAAGCAAAGCGCAGACTAAATCATGTTTTGGATAGTTGTTAGTGGGCGTCGTCAGTGGGCGTGGCCGCCTCTCTTTGCTAATTTCATTGACTCTTCAATTTTTGGTCCGTTGCCAGACACGGCACAAAATGTGGACTGGATGTTGCTGCCTGCTGCCTGCTGCTCTACTTACTTTAAGTAACTTCAATTACACTAGTAGTTTGGCATGGGAAAGAGGCTTATTCAGGATGCGGGTGTGTGTGTGTGTGTGGCGGTGTGGTCTAGAGTCTAGACTGCAGGGGGAGGGTTTTGTGTCTGTAAAATAATTAATCAAAATAGCTTTTTGTTGAGACTTTTCGCACCTGCTTTGGGGGTACTTTCGATTAGCCTAAGTGCAGTCTTTGGTTGCGGAAGTTTTTAAGGACTACCCCGGACTACCTGCCAATTGTACAGTTGAGCCTGGTCAGCTTAGTGCACAGTGCCGCTCTGTTGCTCATTTTTTCCCCCACCTCCACCGCTAAACTCGAACCCTTAAAAGGGGACCGAACTTCTTTTGGAGTTTTATTTCATTCGGTTTGGTTCCGTTTTCTTTTTGCGCTCAGGCTTACATATGTCACACACACACACAGCACACACAGGCACACGCAGGATAGTCACATATATCATTGTCAAGTCTATATGCAAGCCATACCCATACCCAAACGAACCAACCAACCACACAACCATCCACACAGTAACCCCCCCCACCGCCCCTTGAGTCGCCCCAACCATCCACTAGGATATCATTCCCTTGACAGCGCGTGGGGCGTGCGGCAATCTTTTTGGCTTGTCAAATGCGCATTTCCTGCTTAGAAGAAGAGCCCTTGCTGCTTCTACTGCTGCTGCTGCTGCTGCTGCTCGCTCTCTCTGTCTCTCTTACTCTTGAGTGTGTGTGGATGTGTGTGCGGTTGTCTCCGTCGCAATCAATATGGCGGCGCTGGGGTAATAGCTGCAGGATTTACGCGCTCGTGCGGCGTCCCCAGCACCCCTCTGCAGATCCACAGCTCCCTGCTCTTGCCACTGCTCGTGCTCGTGCTCCTGCCCCTGCCCCTGCCCCTGCCCCTGCTCCTGCTTCTGGTGTGGTTACATGGCCGCCAAGCCGTCGTCGTCGTCGTCGTCCTCGGCAGTTACCTTTAAACTTTTTTTATTGATATTTTATGTATGGGCGTTGTGTGTGGGCGGTGTGTGCGGGCGTACTATGTGTGTTTGCTCTTTTATGAAAGCTGCAGTAATGATTTGTTTTATGAACTTGTTCCCTTCGATCTTCCATGCTGCCCTGCTGTCCTGCTACCCTTACGCCCATCGATGTTCAACCAAAGCTCATCGACTTCATTTGCTGCTGGGAATTTTGTGGCGAAAAGCGTAGGAGGAGAGGCCTAGAAGGCAGCAAGCACTCTGCTCCCAAAATGTATGCTATTCGGCCTCTTCGTCTCTGCCCCAGACTTTTCACACTCGCTGGGTAACACTTGCGTTATGCCCCATGCCCCCCACACACATGCGGGGCGGCTCTTTCACACCTCAGCCTCAGTGGCGCAGTAGCGGGTGAAATGATTTATGGAACGCTGTCGAACAAGGCAAGGGCAGGAGCAACAGCAGGAGCAAGAACAAGAACAAGAACAGTCCAATGCCAAAGCCAAGGCACTAAACTTCAATTAGCCCCCGACGAGAGTCCATGACTTTTAATCAGTGTACTTTACGCCACTCATTCTCTACCGAGCGACCGACCGCTCTCTCTCCTTTACACGCGAGCGAGCGCCAAATGAAAATTCGTGGAGTTGCAAAAACACACACCTACACGCACACACGCACACACGAACACGCGATAAATGAAAACAATAACAGGCACAGCCACAGCCCCAATAGCTCTTTATACCCCCCTTTGCCATAATCGTTAATGTGTACTCGACTGATTTTGCTGATCCAGAATAGGCGTAAATGCATAATTCTCTGCGCTCTCGGCAATGGAAATGCCAACAGCAACAACTACTGTTGATCAAATGCAGCAAAGAGACACAAAATGTTGCAATCAATGCATGAAAGCTATGAAATCTGTAGATTACTTCGAATCCAGGGTGTGCGGTGGTTCCACAGTGGTCACTGCTCAACCCAAGCGTTGCTGCGGCGTCAAGATTTATTTTTGCTGCCTCTGCTGATGCGTCTGGTTTGAGAGCAAGCGCGTGAGTGAGAGTGGGAGAGGAGTCGACAGGCACGAGGACGATACCCGAGACGAGGACAGCAGCGAGGACAGCGTCGTGGCGAGGAATGGAGTGGAGAGGGATGGTGGCATTGAAATGTCAGCAGAGCGGAGGTCGATCGCTCCCACCTACCAGCTCTTTGCTACACTTATTTTGCATTTGCGCTGCGCCGTTGTCTGGGGCCCATTACAATAACAAATGAATGGCAAATACTCGTATGCTGCTCGGCCATGGCAGAGTCAGTATTAGCAGCAGTAGCAGATAGAAAGAGAGAGGCAAACAGAACAGAGCAGAAGGGAGCAGAACAGACACACAGTCAACTTTTCGACTATGAAAAGTGCCGAAAGATTTATGCCTTGCTCTCGTCGTCCTCCCTGCTCTTACTCTCTCCCTCTCTCCCTCTCTCCGTGTTTGTGCGTGTGTTTTTGTCAGTCAATGAGTATTCGAAAGCCATCGCGAAGGCTATAATAAGCTTGAAAGCCTCTCTCTCTCTCTCTGTCTGCGAGTGTGTGTGTCTGACACATGGGGCTGACAGCCTCAAATGGAGCAGGAGCTGCTGGGGGGTGGCCACTGCGGATCTGTCTCTGGCTGCGGCTTAGGATGTGGACGCCAAGCAATGTGTCAGGCAGGCTTGGCTTCCAAAATGTGTCGCCTGGATGGCAAATTAGCAGAGTGCCAGAAATGGGCGGTGGTTGGGCGATAGACTCCACGCACAATTATGTACATATGAATAATCATGGTAATCCGCAACACTCTCTCTTTCCCTTTCCCTTTCCCTTTCCCCACAGGTGTCGGCTGGTCAGCATCTGCATCTGAGTGGCGACATGAAGAGCAATGTCTCCGTGGCCTCCCAACAAGGAGTCTTCTTCAGCCAGCAGCAGGCCCAGCAGCAACAGCAACAGCAACAGCAGCCTGGCAATGGCGGACCCAATCCCCAGCAGCAGCAGCAGCAACCGCATAGCGGAAATGCTGGAGCTGGGGTGGGCGTTGGCGTTGGCGTTGGCGTTGGAGTGGGCGTGGGGGTGGGCAATGGCGGGCCCAATTCCGGACAGCAGCAGCAGCAGCAACCAAATCAAAATATGAGCAACGCAAACGGTAAGTGCAACTCCCTCTCTTTGTGTAGAGCCAATATCAAACGCTTCCCCCTCGACAGTACCCTCCGATGGCTTCTCGCTCTCCCAAAGCCAAAGCATGAGCTTCAGCCAGCAGCAGCAGCAACAGCAGCAGCAGCAACAGCAACAGCAACAACAACAGGCGGCAGCCGCGGCGGCGGCAGCAGCAGCTGCCCAACAGCAACAGGCAGCCGCCCAACAGCAGCAGCAGCAGCAGCAGCAGCAGCAGCAGCAGGTGCCACCCAACATGCGGCAACGGCAGACACAGGCGCAAGCGGCAGCTGCAGCAGCGGCGGCGGCAGCAGCACAGGCGCAGGCAGCGGCAAATGCCAACGGACCCAATGTCCCGCTCATGCAACAGGGACCCCAAGGTCAGGGCGTGGGCGTTGGGGTAGGTGTCGGAGTGGGCGTGGGCAATGGCGGCGGTGGCGGCATGCCCAGCAATGGGCCCACCGGTGGACCCAGCAATGGTGCAATGAATCAGATGGGAGGACCGATGGGCGGCATGCCGGGCATGCAGATGGGCGGACCCATGAACCCCATGCAGATGAACCCGAATGCGGCTGGCCCCAATGCCCAGATGATGATGGGCGGTGGCGGAGGTGGAGTGGCGCCAGGTGGTCCGGGGCCCAACCAGGCCAAGTTCCTGCAGCAGCAGCAGATGATGCGAGCCCAGGCCATGCAGCAGCAGCAGCAGCACATGTCCGGCGCGCGTCCGCCTCCGCCGGAGTACAATGCCACCAAAGCGCAGCTGATGCAGGCCCAGATGATGCAGCAAACGGTGGGTGGCGGCGGTGTCGGCGGAGTTGGCGGAGTTGGCGGAGTCGGAGGAGTGGGCGGTGGAGGCGGAAACGGCGGTGGGCGCTTCCCCAACAGCGCTGCCCAGGCGGCGGCCATGCGCCGCATGACACAGCAGCCGATCCCTCCCTCCGGACCAATGATGCGGCCCCAGCACGCGGCCATGTACATGCAGCAGCACGGCGTAGCTGGCGGCGGTCCACGTGGCGGAATGGGAGGCCCGTACGGCGGCGGGGCAGGCGGACCCATGGGTGGACCCCAGCAGCGGCCACCCAATGTCCAAGTGACGCCCGACGGCATGCCCATGGGATCGCAGCAGGAATGGCGGCACATGATGATGTCCCAGCAGCAGTCGCAGATGGGCTTCGGTGGCCCCGGACCCGGCGGCCCCATGCGACAGGGCCCAGGCGGTTTCAATAGTGGTGAGTGAAATAAACACCGGGCTACGTGTCGATGATTATTAACTTGATTGGTTTCCCCTGCGCTTTCTTTAACAGGGAACTTCATGCCCAACGGAGCCCCCAATGCGCCTGGTAGCGGGCCCAATGGCGGCGGCGGCGGCATGATGTCCGGCCCGAATGTGCCGCAAATGCAGCTGACTCCAGCACAGATGCAGCAGCAACTGATGCGCCAGCAACAGCAGCACATGGGTCCCGGTGGCGGCGGCAATATGCAGATGCAACAGCTCCTGCAGCAGCAGCAGTCGGCGGCCGGTGGCGGCAACATGATGGCCAGCCAGATTCAGATGTCCAGCATGCACATGACCCAGACGCAGCAGCAGATCACCATGCAGCAGCAGCAGCAGTTTGTCCAGAGCACCACCACGACCACGCACCAGCAGCAACAGTTGCTGCAGATGCAGAGTCAGGCTCAGGGACAAGGCGGCGGACCGGGATCGGCAAGCAACAACAATGGCGGTGGCGTCGGCGTTGGCGTCGGCGTCGGCGTCGGTGCCGGTGGGGTGGGAGCGGGTGGTGGCAATGCATCCAGCACGATTGCCAGCGCTAGCTCGATAAGCCAGACGATCAACTCGGTGGTGGCCAACTCGAATGACTTGTGTCTCGAATTCCTTGACAACCTGCCCGTGGATAGCAATTTCTCCACGCAGGATCTGATCAACTCCCTCGACAACGACAACTTTAATCTGCAGGACTTCAATATGCCGTAGATTCGTTGAAGTAGTCTCTACCATCCACCAGCACCACATGCACCACCACCACCACACACCACCACCACCACCACCACCACCACCACCACCACAAACCACCACATTGTTGCCTCAGTTTTGTTCACAATTTTTGTTTTGTTGCCTATTGTTGTTATTGGTCTAGGCCAGCCCCATCCAGTCCCATCCCAAACCGAACCGAACCGAACCCGCCCCAGGCCCATGCCCATGCCCATGCCCATGCCAATGCCAATGCCCCGTCCCTGCCAATGAAGTTATTTTGTTCGTTAATTGTGTGTGTGAATTTATACCTAACCCACTCGTGCGGGTGTACGAGGATCCCTAAGCTAAGTTTGTTCGTCTATGTACTATAATTTCTAGTTTCCCGCTGGCTCCTCTGTAACGCATCGCATCATATCGTATCCGAGCTGTCCAAGGTCCAAGGTGCAGGGCGTGCAGACGCTGGGCGTGGCAGCGGCTAGGGCTCGCAACACATTCCATATACATAACCAAATGCCAGGCCATTAACTGAGGAAAATCAAAAAGTATTCACAAGTACTTTAAAATCAACCAATATACACGCCACCACAAAATCTGAAAACTTAAGCACTTGTACTTAATGCAAATGTTTGTGCCACGCCCAGTAGGTAGTGCGTAGTGCGCCGCCCCCCACTTGAATTGATTACTTAAGCAAAAGCCACAAGAAAAAATAACAAAGAACAAAGAACTTAAAACTCGAAACTAAAAACAACGGAGAGCAAAAGCAAAAGAACCAACAACAAAATGGAGAAACAAAACAAAAGCAAAACACAAAATAGTTGTACATTTTATATTGTATTTAATTTTATTTAGTTTTTATAAAACATAAAATCGACAAACAAACAAAAAACAACAAAAATTAAAAAAAAAAAACACACAAACAAAAATAAAACGGGACACCGGAAATGAGAATCTGTCGAAGAATGAGCAAAAATATTGGTGATATTTTAAATGCTTAAACACAAAATGGAGAAATAAGCGAGAAATTACGAATCAAACAATAAATCAACAAAAGGCAAAAAAAAAAAACACAAAACACAAAACACAAAACAAACCGCGGGAAAGGGGGGAGAACTTTTAAAAAAGAAACAAAAGAATTCATTCGAGAATGAGAAACAGTTATTATTATTATAATTATAATTATTATTCTACATTAATTTTTTGAATGGAGTTCATTTTTAAATGGAATTTTAAAAGCGAAGCAACAGTGCGCGAACAGCGCAAGCAAAACATATTTAACAGATATACACTATATACATATATACATATATATTGTATAAGAATATATTATATATACACAACTATGCGTAGTTTTTGGTAGTGAAACGTAATTATTAGTAGTTTGTTAAATAAATTGATATATACACACACGTACAACATAATATGCAAACATACATACATACACATCCGCATCTATACGCGATTCGATATATACACACACATACATACATACATACATACATACATACCTACATATATAGATATATTTGACTTTTGTAAAAGCAGCGCTATCGATTTACGAGCATACATATGTATAATTAGTACTAGGGATCCACAAAATGTTCTGGTTAAGAGATCGAAATTTATATTTAATGCATGCGCCTGGCCGCATTACAAAGTGATGCCATGCCACGCCCACACAGAATACGATATAAAGGAATAGAAGGAGGATGAACACTATTAAGCAAAAGAAAACGCCAGAGATTCCAGCAATGAAATTATTGTACGACAACTAATTAGAGCAATTCCATAAGTCCATAAGTTAGACGTTCCGTTGAGGCCATAGAAATTTTGAATCAGGCACTCAGATGCCACTTCCACAGATCTACTTACCATATATAGTTACAGAGACAGACAGACATTCAGACAGCTCACAGCCATTTTTGCAGTGTCTACCGTAATTCGTGATTCGGATGGATCGGCAGGAATATGTAGGAAAAAGCAAAAGCGATTCCGCAGCACACGCCTAGCAAAAGATATACATACATACATACACACATACAAACATATACACACACACACACGCATATAAAAACTAACAAGGAAAAAAGATCAAGTATTTAAGCCGCAGAAAAACAAAAACTAAGAAAAAATCTAACAAAATTTACTATTACAATTATAAATGAATAAAAATACGCGAATTGTAGTTTGTAACTAATGCTAAATGATACGGATGCGAGATGAAGATTTGTTTATAATTATTATACGAAAACCGCAAATATTATTAAATACAAATTATATATTATATATATACAAGCATATTATTATTACCTATGTATATCCAATATGGCATATTATTATTACATATATATTTCAACGCGAAACAAACTAGCGAGCTAGATCGTAAGTGGAGGTTATTGATTGAGGTTCCACCTCGCCACGCAGTTCCATTGATCCCCATCCCGGCCAGAAAAAAAGAGAAAATCATAACTTAATATCAATTAACGAGAAGGCAAACAACTGCCAGCGGCAAACCAAAACTCTAATTATTTAAAACACGAAAGCTGCGAGAGCGTATCGCAAACGAGCGATATCTTGTCTTCAAGCCTACGTCTATGAATTATGCAGGACTATGCAAGTTTACGAGTCTTCTGATTGCCGTTTGTTGTCCTCCGAGAAACAAAAGAAAATGTTGGGAAGCAAATCAAACATTTATAGATGTTCTTTTAATATTAAAGAAACAGAACGAAAGTAACAAAATAAAATAGAAAAATATTACTTTTGTAAATAAACTGTAACTTGTTTTTATAACAGGCTGTAACTACTTATCAGAGATACAGCAGGATCCAGATTGATATCAAAATCTCTATTAGGCTTTAAATGGACAACGCCGCATTTTTGTTTGAATATTATCATAAGCACCATCGTTCCATGGCGGTTAGCTTGTGTCAAGTATTAGTCATATACATATGTACATATATACTCGATATGTCTATTATTTTATCGATGGTTCCATTCTGTGTTTTGCAGCACTGTTGATTTTTTAAAAACTGAAAACGCGTAAAAAGTCGGAGAAACATGCTAATCTTCTAGAAAGTGTATTATTTTAGCTATCCAAACTATAGTTTCAGGGCTGAGAGTCTCAGGTAGTTTGTAACTGTGAACAGAACATCAAAAGCGAGGATTCTGATTTTCATTGGTATATGAGAAGGCATTTTTTGGTATACTTCTGGGGGTCAGAAGGTATATTTCATCGATAAGACCGCGGTCACTCCGTTTTTATAATACTAAAAGGTGTGGCATACTTTTGTGCGGCGATGGTATTTTAGTTAAATCTATTAGGTATCTTTTGGGAGCGGCTTTGATCCTAAGAAATATGGATGATATGATAAATATTACAAAATAGCGTAAATCAGCCATATCCTGCAGTTCTGAGGTCCTTAAAACGATTGAAACGATACGAGAAAGTCACCCATGGACGTAGAGTCGTGGTATGTCCTGATACGACAGGAAACAGCCGAGTTAGGGACTCGACCTATAAACAACGTTAAAATGGCATTATCCTTGATGTCCTTGCTTCCGAAGTGATTGCAAACCATTCGGGACATTGTCCCGATGACGACGAGGCGTGGCATGTCATGATCGGCATACAAATAAAGGAGAAAACGACAAAATAAATCTGTCCTATTGTTGTTGTTAAATTATGTTGTTGTTGTACAACAAAAGTTGTTTTTGTTATTGTTTTCATAGTTTTGTACAACAACAACTTTGGAAATTGCTTCTCTCAAATGGCCGAAAACCAGAAAAATTTCTAGCCGAGTACCAGGCCAACAGAAATCAGCAGAAAGTAGCTGGTTTTATGTTTTTTCACTGTGTCAAGAGCTGGATGCTATGAAACGCATTTTTTCGCGAAGTAACCTAAAGTATGCCACAAAATTTGGTCTTACATTTTACGTTGTTGCTTTCTGAAAAGTAACTAAAAGTATGCTACACGATTTGTATGCCATTAGTAAGCCATCAGAAGATCTGAAAATCGCGAAAACTCGGTTTACCCGTGATTTGTTGGCCGATCTGTGTTCGAGTTCCAGATCGGTAAAAGGACCTTTTTCTTCAAGGAGGATCCAGAGGACTTGAATGGATTTAGTTTTCATTCATATTTATTGATTCTTCATACGCATGTTCATAATACATAATTGCATATTTGACGACTTATTATAGATATTTGACATAATTTTAAATACATGCTTTTAAAGTGTGTGTGTGTGTGTGTGTGTGTGTGTTTGTGTGTGTATGTAGGGTAGTGTGCTTTAATCGTTAAACATTATCAATGTGGTGTATGCATATTCAATAATCCGTTATGCTCGTGCAGCTTCCGGCATTCACATTGAACGCTAAACAGCTAAACGTAGATTGGTTTACATGTAATGGGCATAATTATAGGTATACATATGGATGCGTGTCTAGACGTCTGTAGGACTTATATAACTGAGCAAACCACTGGGATATCCCCCAGGTAGTTTAACTTAAAAGCTAACAAGCTTGACGGCTTACCATATTTCCGTATATGTAAGGGTGTGTGCTCGTATGTGTGTGTTTTGGAACTAAAACAATTTACAAATAATTAGCAACTATTGCGAGAACTAAAAAGTGTGATCAAATCTAGTTAGATGCTAGGTCTGCCAATAATTACTTGTACATATGTAAGTTATATTATGTTTATGGTTTAGCTTTATGTGTACTAACTTTTCAACACTTAAATGCTAGGGAAATGGTGCGGCCTGCCAATTGGAAAGATTTCACTATACTCGTAGTACCATTCAATGCTTGCAATATCTCAAAGAGCCTGCAGGCTCGTTTAAACAGTGTAAATGCATCAATCTCTTGTTTGGTGAGGGGCGTACTTCGATATTCTTTAATTGCATTATTTATGTTTGTGTGAATTATGCTTCTGTTGCTGCCTCAGTGCCTATATGTGTATCTGTATCTGTATCTGTATCTTTATCTGTGGTTGTGTTTTTGTATGAATTATGCAATAAAATCAGCCTTAGTTATAATAAATGTTACTCGTGAAAACGCATTCTATAAGATTGGGTTGCCTATGACAATATTTGCGTTAAGCGCTGGCAAACACTTGAGAACCTCTTTCAATACAACACGTTACTTAAATCCGTCGTGTTATCTTTTTCGTAATACTTCGGCAAGTTTAAGGGGGTTTTCTATAAAAAACAAGTGTACAAAAAATCGTTTAAAAGTAAAAATCTGTAAATTTTACTAGCAAAAATTTACGTTTTGTATTCGTTTCCGATTCCGTTTCCAATATGCTTTTAGTTTTTGTTTTCGTTTTGGATTATGAAATTTGCCGCGTATGGAATATCGTGTTATATACTCGCATATTCATGTTTAAAAACATTATAAGTTTTAGTATATGTTTAGTATTTAGTTTAGTTGACTTGACTTGACTGGATATTCGGCTAAATGCTCAAATTCAAATATTATTGTTACTCGGTGCAACTTCTATCGTATTGTATTCTCCTTTACTTTCCTTTAGGCATATGTATATAAAACCTACGCTAGTTATGTATTGGATTAATAATGTTAATGTCGCTTAAATGTTTTGTGCATTAGTCGAACGCGAACACGAACACGAACACGAACACGAATGATCAATGGATGGATACTGAAGAAATGAACTTGCCCTGGCGGCCCCCTACATTACGAACTAAATCGGTTATTTTTATGTCAGTAAGTATGCATGTGTGTTTATAGTTATTTCTATGGGGACATTTCATTGAAATTGTGCAGATCGAAAGCCAACTAAAGAAACGAAATACATTCGAGTTCGATTCAGTTTGTTTTCAATGGTTGGAAAAGGAGTGCGATTGCATTTTGTGACTAACATAGTAAAATATTGCATACACACATTGCATCCTGCACTTGCTCTGTCATTAGATTAGAAATATTGTTGTTTAGTTGCTGGTCTCGGTCAGCCTACATAAATGTATATCACACGCAATAAATATAATAAATGTAATTTAAGATTGTGTTTCGTTTAGTTTCCTTCCTTTCCTTGGGCAAATTGGAGACACATGAACATTATCTCTGCCTCTAGTTCTACAATATCTGAATTTATAATTACTTTCTTGTGGGTTTAGCGCTTTGAACTTGAAAGTTGTGTATTTGCTTGAAATATACAGAAGTAGCAACGATTTGTTTTGTATCTGAAACGGATTCATTGCTATTCCTGCTATGCCGCTATGCCCCTTATGTGTGTTTGCTTAATGCTCTACTTGTGGCGTCTTTCCTCGGTTGCAGGCAGCCGCTGCTATTCGTTGTGAATGGCAATGACTGTTGACTAACTCTAATTAACGACTTAACGATTTGGCAAATGTTTGATTTGATTCCCGCAGCTCATGCAGCTCTTGCAGCTCTCACAGCTCAGCCTAGTGCAGCCGATGGTGATTGGCCTTGGGCATGGAGCCAACGATGCGCACACGTCCCAAGGTGCCCACCGCTCCAGCTCCAGCACCACCAGACAGACGCTGGTGGTGGTGCAGCATCTGTTGTTGCTGCTGCTGTTGTTGTTGTTGTTGTTGCTGCTGCTGCTGCTGTTGAAGCTGCTGCAGTTGTTGCTGCTGCAATTGCTGTTGCTGGAGTTGATGCTGCTGGAGTTGCTGCTGCTGCTGATTTTGATGCTGCTGAGGATGGTATTGGCTGCCTGGCAGATGGGGCTGCGACTGCGGCGCGTGCTTGGCATCGTTACAATCGCAGAACTGCGGCGGTGGCGCCAGGACCAAATTCTCGGTGCATAGCTGCATATTGTTGTTGCCAGGCTGCGCCACAGCCGCTCCGCCCGGCACACCAGCAACAGCACCAGAGGCAACAGCTACCAACTGTCCGCTGGGCAATACGCCCACAATATGCGTGGCCATCTGCTGCTGTTGTTGGATCTGCTGTTGTTGCTGCTGCAGTTGCTGCTGCTGGAGCTGGTGCTGGTGCGGAAGAGGATGTGGATGCTGACGTTGCAGTGTGTGCTGTGAAGCCTCACCATCGCTGTCGGCCTCCAAGGGCGGCGGCAACTGCATCAGCGAGACGGCCGAGGTGCGAGTCACGCCCCGCTGCATGGCAATGGCCGCTGCCTGCTTGCGTGTGAGCGAGTTGTGCCGCTGGAATGCCTTAGCAGGCGGCGAGGGACTCAATTCTCCGTCGTCGTCCTCTAGGTCGGAACGCTGCTCCATCTCCGATTCGTGGCCGCTGTTTCCCTTGTGCAACTGCTGCTGATGCTTGGCCACCAAGGCTGCCGTGTTGCTAGCTCCCCCGGCGGCTGCTGCCTTCGCCTTGAGGATCTGCTGGAGATGTTGCTGGTGGGCCAGCTGCTGCTGCTGTTGCTGCAGAATCTGCTGCTGCGTGGCAATCAATTTCTGGTTGGGATTCGCCTGCTGTTGCAGTTGCTGCTGCTGCTGCATCTGCTGCTGCTGATGGTGATGCACGTTGGGTATGCGTCCCAGAACCTGTGGACTCATCACTGATGTGGCATTGTTGGCGCCAAGAGATTTCATGTTGATGTTGCTGGCCATTGTGGCCACTGTGGCTGTCGGCTTGCTGCCGAGCTGCTGCTGCTGCTGCTGCTGCTGCTGTTGCTGTTGCTTTTGTTGCTGCTGTTGTATAGCGGGAGCGTGCTGCTGTTGCACCAACTGCTTGACAGTCAGCGTGGTGGTGGCTGCTCCTGCACTTGCTCCGCCTATGCTGATTGTGGTCTTGGCCATGGGCTTGCTGCTGGTCATGGGCTGATCGGGTATAGTCTTCGGCTCCTCCACAATGGTTACTGTCGGCTTCTTCTTGATGGTGTCTGTGGGCTTCGCTACAGCAGTTACTGCTCCTGCTATGGGCATCAAACCTTCTTGATCGCTGCCTACTACCGAGCTGCTAGTGTCGCACTCATCTTCGCCTGGACCTGCTACTGTGTGTGGTTGCGGCTGCTGTTGCACCTGCTGCTGCTGCTGTTGTTGCTCCTCCTCTGACTTCTTTGCGAAGCCGTTGGGCGAGGACTTGGAGGTCTTGAGATTGCTGCGTATGCGTTGTATCTCCTCCACCGACAACGAGTGCGAAATGGACGCGCTGCCAGAGTTTGAGCTGCTGCCACTATGGGGGAACACAGAAGGATCGATTAGAACATGGCGATAGCACACCGCTGACTTGGGCTTACCTGGCCTGACTGTTGCCGCTGGTCTCTGGCACATCGAACAGGGCTATCTTCTCGTTGAGCTTCGTGTTGCGCGCCACCAAAATGGAGTTCTCGTCCTCCCCATCCGACTCGCTGCAGCTATAGTCCGGCTCTGGTATGGGTGGTGCTCCACCTCCAACACCCATACCACCTCCACTAGCACTTCCATTTCCATTCTGTGCTGCTTGCTGAACTGCAACAGGCGCTGTCTGAAATTGTGACTGTGGTGGCGGTGGTGCAGGCGGGGACTGGGGTGAAGGCTGTTGTTGCTGTTGCTGCATTTGCACCTGAGGCGCCGCATAGTGGGAGGCGGGCCCTCCAGTGGGCTGCTGTGGCTGCTGTTGTTGTTGCTGCTGCTGAGGACGCATCTGTGTGGGAGCTGCATACTGGGAGCTGACCTGGTGCTGTGCCTGTGGCTGCTGTTGCTGTTGCTGCTGCTGCTGCTGTTGTGAGCTCGCGGAGGTCTCCTGGGGTGGCTTCTCTTGCGCTTGGCGCAGCTTCCAGGCCATCACGTTGCGCAACTCCTGGGGCGAGGCATAGATCTTGGCGTTGGCCGAGGGATTGAAGCTGCTCTGGACGCCATCGATGGCCGCACTGGTCACGGCATCGTTCTCGGACCGCTTCTTCAGCTTCTGCTGCAGGGAGACGGTGCTCTCGTACTCAGAGACGCTGCTTCGGGTCTCCACCTTGACCACCTGGCCGACAGGCGGTGGCGGTGGGGGATGATTGGGTGGGGGAAGTACTTGTCCGGCTCCGCCCTTGCCCTCCATGGTGTTAAGACGCTGCAGCGAGGCGTGCAGCGTGGCCACATCGTCCTGCGAGTGATGACCCTTGCCGGCCGCCTGCCAGATGGACGACACTGAGCCGTGCAGCTGGGCACCGTGCAGATCGGGCGTCGAGTGGAATCGCTTCAAGTCGCGTCCCCCAGGGCCGCCCACTAAACCAGCTCCACCCACTGTGGGCGTGGCCACTGGCTTGCCACGCAACGTGCCGTTGCCGCTGCCACTGCCACTGCCGATGATCCCGCCCTGCTTGCTCCTGGCCGTCTTGCGCTTCATTTCCGCCACACTGCCGTAGACCAGGGGTCCGCTCCGCATGGGTGATCCGTTTGTGGCGGGCGGCGTGGCCGCGCCACTGTCTGTGCCGGACTGGAACCGGGAGCTGGTCATCATAGTCGCATAGCGGCTGGCATTAGCGGCGCTGCCATCGCCCTGCTGCCGCTGGAACAGCTCCTCCAGCTCGGCGGCCGTAATCCGACTGGAGGTGGGACGAGCCTTGATGCTGGCCGTGCGCAGCTGGACGGGGGTGCCGGGTCCCGTCTGATTGTTGTTGCCATTTCCATTGCCGTTGCCATTGCCGTTGCTTGTGGACGCCGACGGCGCAATGGACGTAGCAATGGATTCCACCGAATTGGACTTGGTGTGCGGCACATCGTCCTCCTTCTCGCCGCCGTTCTCGAGGCCAGCCACCATGGACTTGGCCCTGGCACGACCCACGCTCAGCGTCGTCTTGGGGTCCCTTCGCGGCGGCATGGGTGCCATCCGCACACTGCCTCCGGCTGAGGAGCCTCCATGGCTGCCCGGTCCCATTGACATCTTGCGTGGCAGCGTGGCGCACTGGCGGTGCGATGTCTGCGGTGTGCTCGGACCACTCGACAAGTGCTGGCTGCCTGCCCTGGCCCCGCTGGGCAGATACTGGACAGTGGCCTGCATCTGGTGGGGGAACTGCGGCGATATCACCGTCATATTGACCAGGGCACCCGCCGAGCGGATCATCTCCACCACCTGCTCGTGCGAGGCGGCACTCACGTCCTCCCCGTTGATGGTCAGCAGGAAGTCGCCCGGCCTCAGTCCGGCCATGTCCGCCACACCGCCCGGATCCACGTCGTCCAAATACTGCAGAGCCGGAAAACGCTCCGAGGGTCGCAGCTGCATCAGCTGGGAGCTGGCCTTGGCCCCACGCAAAATGAAGCCGAAGCCGCGCTTGGCACGGTGCAGCACCACCGATCGTGGGGCATTATAGGCGCTACAAAAAGACAGGGATTATATATGATATTGGATTCGATTTTGGGGTTTCTGCATCTTCATACCTCTTCTTGATACGCGGCGCCGTGGCGCTGCTGTACTGTCCAATGGAGTTGTTGTTGTTGTTGCTAGGTGCTCCAGCTCCGCCGTTGCTCTCTGCGGACTGCTGCTGCTGGGACTGTGACTGGGGCTGCTGGCAGGAGCCGTTGCTGGTCATCGAGAGCGAGGGCGAGTGGTGGGGCTGCTGCAGCAGGGTGCTCGAGCTGCCCGAGTGGCCGCCGAGGCTGAGCTGCGGCGATCCCTGGTACGAGGCGGAGGAGGATGGCTGCTGCTGCTGTTGGGGCTGAAGCGGAGCCTGCTGGGGAGCGGGCATGCCCGTGCTGGCGGTCATCACATTGGTAATGTGCTTCTGCCGCAGATTGACCTCCTGGACGCAGTCGGCGGGGAAGAAGCCCGACTGATTGGTGCCCCTGACATAGCCCTCGAGGAGGCCGCAGTCGGTGCTGCCCACCACCTCGATGACGTCGCCGGGCTGCAGTCGGATGTGGCCCACTGTGTTGCCGACATACGGCTCCATGCACACTACAGTGGTGCTGGGGTGTCCAATCGAGCAGGCGGCCGAGTCCGAGTTGGTGCCCACACCCGACGAGTCGCTGATGATGTCGCTCGTGTCGCCCAGGGATTTGTCTGTGCGGGAGGAAGTCAAGGCCAGGAATGAGTGTCAGTTTGTTAGTCAGAGTGTGGGTCCGAGTGGATGCCACTCATTTGAACACATTTGCGAACAGTCTCTGGTTGCAGAATGTGGCTAAGAGATGCGCAGAGATGTGGAACTGTTGTGTGAATCATTCGAGTGAACGAGTGAATGAAATGCGAATGAATCAGAGGAACAGTGGATAAACTGTTCAGTCACAGATCACGGAGGATCACAGGGTTTCCCCGTTTGCGAACATTCAAATGAGGATTCGTATAAATAAATATCAACATGCAAAAATCTACTAAGAAATGCATGCCCACAATATACGAGTAATAATATTTATCAGAAAAGAAATGGATTGTAGTACATACTTAGCCGCTCGTTGTGGTTTTGATTTATGTTTTATGTACAGAGTAATTTCCCTTACACGAAACTCTTTATAATTGAGAAACTCAACTTAAACTTAAACTTAAAATGCAAATCAAATGATAAGCAAATGATGGGATTACCTGTCACAATGCTGATGTCGTCCTCGTGTGAACGGTGTCCCGAGGAGCCCTCGGAGAGGCTGGAGCTGGCCGAGCTGTAGGCGCCCAGCATATGCTCCGAGGGGCATGGCGAGGGCGGACCGTGCAGCTGCAACTGATGCAGCTGAAGCTGGTGCTGGTGTTGGTGCTGGTGGTGCAGATGATGTGGATTGCTGGGGTGGTGCTGTTGGTGTTGAAGCTGCTGATGCTGATGCTGTTGCTGCTGGTGGTTCTGATGCATCATCATCATCATCAGACCCCCACCGCCAACACTGCCGTTGGCGGTGCCACTGCCACTGCCACTGCCACTGCCACTTCCGATGCCATTGCCATTGATCATTGCACCACCAAGACCACCGCCAGCCGCAGCCAGCAGAGCTGCACCGGCGGCTCCATTGGCGCTCAGCCAACCGATGCCCGAGCGCCGCTTTGGATTGTAGCGCGGCGGTCCGCGGAAGGGTACTGTGGTGTAAGGATAGTAAGGATAGTATTCGCTTTATATGCATGTATGTATGTATGTATTTATGTACGGTGGATCATGTAGTGTTTGTGTGTGTGTGTGTGTGTGTGTGTGTGTGTGTGTGTGTGTGTGGGGGAATCGTGGCTGGGGATCCGTCCGAATAAACACCTTCACCTCTCTGTTGGAGAAATGTTGGAGCTCTACTCAATCTATTTCTTGGGATTCTAAGGCGGATTTCTAAGAACCCTTGTGGATTACTTACTTACTCTTACTTACTGGAACCAAAGGACATGTAATGTACGTACATACATATTTACATATTTACATATGTAGGTACATATTATGTCTGATCTGATGTGAAGGTAAACAAACGACTCTTACAAAGAAAGCATTCGATTAAGGACATTCTAGCAATGTCCTGCCCAACAACAAACGAACTTTTGCTGAGAGAGAGACAGAGAGAGCGCAAAACACTAACAAAAAGAAGGAACAAGAACAGCCAAAATGGCTGCAAAGTGAAATCAATGGAATTGAATGGAGTATGGAATATGGAATGGAATGGTACACATATGGTAATGGAAAACTATTTGGATACAGTAACAGTAACGGTAACGGTAACAATTATAGAGCAAATATTATTGGGTATTTATGGGTATTTATCTCAAACAAGCAAATGCAAAATGCAAAATACGAAATACGAAAAAGTGTGAATAATTGTTGTAATTGTAGTTGCATTTAAAAGTTCGAACTTGTCAGGAATAATACGCATATTTATTTATTAATAATTATACATGGGACTAATGTACATTGATATGAAGGAGAGAGAGACCTGAATGATGACTAATGGATGATAGAATGAAATGACGAGAGCAGTGCTCAATGGCGGAAGAACGGAAGGAAACTATACGGATAAGTCCGACGTGATTGATGGTGAATATATGTATATATTTATAGATATATGTTATGATATATGTATAAGGAATAAGGAATAGATTGAGTAGAGAGTAAACAAATCCAAACAGAGAACTGAGAAAAGTGACAAAAAAGAAAAGAAAACAAAACAAAACTGGAAAATGGAAACTGTTGATCGGCAGCCAGCGCTCAGTTCCATTTGTAATTTCGGAAACATTGAATATGAATTAAATATATGAATATGATTATGAACATATGAACATCTGTGGCGAGTACACGAGTCGAGTGTTTAAGATGGATCCCTGAGAGGTGATGACTTACCAATATCCTCCGATTTGTAGTTCTCAATGACTTCGGCCAGCTCCAAGTTGCCAGCTATGACAGCCACCTATAGAAAATAGACAAATGAGGCATTAGATGGTCAGCACAGAGCAGACACGCACACCCAAAACCAGCAGCAACTAACTAACTTAGAGCTTAATGTAATTCAACTTAAATGCTAAACTACAGTAGCAGCAGCAGCAGGAGAAAAAAAAACTATCAACTACTTGTAAATTCCATTCACTACAGATACATTTTGGGGCTTTTGTTTTACCTGATAGGGAGTTTGGTTGGCAAAGTTCTGGGCACCGCGCTGGGCGCCCCGAAAGAGAAGCATTCGGGCACAAGCCTCTTGGTTGTTGACGGCGCACACATGCAGCGGGCTATTGCCGGACGCATTGCGGCCATCCATGTCAGCACCGTAGAACAGGAGGTGTTCCAAGTGCTGAACCAGCCCGTGCCGGCAGGCCTGTCCCATTCGAACAGTGCGCAAAGGATTCAGATTCAGATGCAGATGCAGATGCAGAGGCAGTTGCAGTTTGCAGATACAACCCCCGCGGGTTACAAAAGAGTTAGCAAGCGTTTTTTTTTTGGTTTTTTTTTTTTGTTTATAGAGTTGAGTTAGAGAGAGAGAGAAGAGAGAGAGTAAACAGAGAGAGAGAATTCAAATATTAATTGGCATTCAGCAACTTGGGGGCGGGGCAGACACCAGTTTGTAGGGCGACACCAGAGAATCGTTGGACGGGCGAGGGGGCAAGCGTTTGCAGATACAAATCTACGAGACTGGCATGTCTCAATGGACCGCCACCGACTCACCTGATGGACCTCGTTCCAGCCCTGGCTATCCTGGATGCCCAGCGTCGCATGGTCATGGAGCAGGCTCTCCGTGATCTTCGATTCGCACTTTCTGGTGATCGAGATGTACAGGGGAGTGATGCCACGCCCATCGCGATAGTTGGGCGACGCACCAAGCTCGAGAAGGGTACTGAAATGGTAGAGCATGATTAGAAAATGGATCGTGGGTTCGCATGAGAGCGAGTCTGCCCAACCTGACCGCCTCCAGGGAGTCGTGCTCTACAGCCCGGTGCAGGGCCGTGGTGCCGTCCTTCGTGCGGTAATCCAACAGAGCTCCGCCATTGACCAGAGCAATGAGCACTTTGTTGGGTTTCTTGGCACCGGTGGCCACGCTCAACGGTGTCTCGCCGCTCTCCGAGCAGTGGAAGTTCGGGTCCAGTCCCTTGGCACACATCTTGGCAATCTTCTCCACATGCCCGCCGTTGATGCACTCGAGGAAGCGACGCAGATTGGCACGCGTGTGCAGCGCCTTCAGCTGGCGCTCGTCCAGGGTCAGCATTTTGTATACGCGTCGCTTGTACTTGAGCTGCAATCGGAAAGGAAGCAAGCAAAAAGAGGATGAACATTTGTAAGATTGTAAGGGATAGACACACTCAACTCACCTCCAAGTAGCCGACGGGCCCGTTGAATGGATAGTCACCCAGCCGACGCTCTTCATCCAGAAACTTTCCCGCCTTCCCATTCGAGGGCGGTGCAAAGAGGCCGTAGTTGAAGCTCTCCTTTAGTTCCTGCAACAACCAAAACAGACGAGAAGGTGTAATTGTTATGTTTCTGTGTGCGAATCAGAAGCTCCATTCACGTGGCTCAAGTCGTGTGCAAGAGTCGCACAAAGGACTTCCGGCTTGCCAATGGGCGAACTTGCTTCTCATATACTACGAGTACACTACATATGTGCAAAGTTATGTATTTTGTATGCTTCCTGTTCACAGAATCCTTCACAATGTCCCCGCTAATGAGACAGGAGCGTGACTGGAGGAGCGCCATCTAGCGACTGCTTGCTGCAAGTACCCCTTCTCTTCCCGGAGCAGAGCGGCAGAGACTTTCATAATTTAACGTTGCCTTTAAGTGGCAATTTCTTGTTTTAATTAAACAAAACAAAAAAAGAGAGAGAGAGAGAGAGGGAACTCTCCCTGCAGTTACTCTTCCTTGCGTGGAGTGTATAACGGGCTTGCCTCTGCCACTGCATTAATTATGCTAACTGCGTGTGTGCTCTTCTCGTTGGGCTCTACGCCCCCTCAAGTGGCAAGTGTGGCAAGTGCCCCTGGGCATTGAGAGGCAGGCAGTTTGCATGTTGTCTCATAATGTGCCAAATGTTGCCATTAGAGAGGAAGTTTCTATACAGTTGGGAGTTTCCCCTTTTATCAGTGTTGGTTAATGCATCAGGCACATAATTTATGGGCGACAGTTATTACAATAATAATTAGAAATTAAACATTAGAAGATAATTTAACGCTAGTTCCGAAAGGGGAGCGGTAGTTATACATTTATTCATCGTTTTCTTTTTTTTTTTCTATATATCCTGGTTCAAATTTGAATTTTAACACACTCAATCAACTCTTCAACCTGCACTTTAGCTGCAGAACTCGAAGAACCAGTTAAGTAGTGAGTCTCCATCTCTTAGTTTATGCAGTTTCGCTTGCCAGTCACGTATCCCGCTACTTTGTTGAGATAGTTGTATCCCAGAGATCTGAGGGGAAAATCCACCACAATCCACCCTTCGGCCGCATAAATGTGTATGTATAAACCGCACAAACTAACACGCCCCCAAAAGTAGCAGTAAACCCCATCCCTTAGTGCATACTCACCCTCTTCTTGCTTCACAAAACAACAAAACACGTTAACTGCTTTGCGCCAAATGGTTTTTATGGCGTCACCCCATGCCATGCCCATCCCTTTTCCCTCTCCCTTCCTCTTCCCTTTCGAAATCACACCCATCTGTGTCTCCGTCTCCGCCTCAGTACGAGTCTCAGTCTCAGTCTCAGTCATGCACATGCAAATTGCAGACACGTCGCTGCCCTAGACCCCCAATGAGAAGGGAATACGCGTATACGCCGCCTGCCCTCAGGCTGCCAAGGGTCGAGGGAGTGGTCCAACTTTCGGCATTCGGGGGCTGCCCTGCCCCACCCTTTCTTACCCTGCTCCAAGTTCTACCCTGCCGTGGCAGCCAGGATCTGGGGGTATGTGGCCCAAAGTCAAGTTGTTTGCGCAAATTGCAATTTTATGAGTTCTGATTTCGATTTTGCAATCCGTAAGACGGCTCATAAAAAAACATCCACGTTCAGGGGCACAGGGTTGTGGTTCAATCTTTGTAATCCGAGGAAGCCCATTTCCTGGTCGTGTCCCCCTCCCTGCTGGAAGCTGTTGCAAAAGTAATTTAGAACTTTTTGGGTTTAAAACACTTTTCAAACAGTTTTTCTCATTTTTCTTACCAGTTTTAGGGGTTGGGGATAAATTTTGTTCTGCCACAAAGTGGGGCAGGGCATGCGGAATGTGTATACCATGCATTCCATGGGGAGTGCCAAAGGGGAGGTATTTCTCCATAAATCATTGCGAAATTGCAACTGCATCGGGCATGGAACATAGCCTCTGGACGGCCCCCAATGCATCGCGAAGGACCATTCATGGAAATTTCCATTAAGTTCAATGCAGTTTGAACAGTTTTAGAGTAGAGATTCGCTCGATTGACAGTTTGAGAGACACTGTATTGCAGTTTTAGCGGAACTTCTGCACAGTTGGATGGAAACTGGGTAACAGATGAGTGTCAAGCTCCTCTCTCTCTCTCTGCGATAATAGAATCCAAAGTAAATGTCAATGTGATGTTCGCGATGTGCGATGTGCACTTGCCAGCAAATAAGCGACTTCCTGTTCCAATAAGAAGACCCCAAGGCAACCACTTGGCAACAACAACAACAATAGATACCAGCAGCACCAGCAACAACAAAAGAAATCATTGATAAACATTGTCAAACAGTAGTGGATGGATGTGTTTGTGACTTTTTTGTTGGGTCTGTGTTGCTGTTGCTGCATTTGTTTGCCTGTTGATTGAAAGCAACGCTGAGAAACTGAGAGAAACAGAGGGAGGAGAGCGAAGAGAGCGGTAGTGAGCGGAGCACGGAGAGACGCTTAGCAGGTAAGCATAAACAGTGCCAGCAAAAAGTAAATAGCCATGGAGCCAGCCAATGGACTGGACAGCAGCCACCCCAAGCATGGAAGTGGGTCGCCTGCCTCCGATCACTGACCATCTGTTGCTCGAGCTGCTGCCTCTGCTGGTGCTGCTGCCGTCGGTTCTAGTTGTTGTTGTTGTTGTTGTTGCTGCTGTTGCTAGTTGCTGCTGCCTAGTCGTAATCTCATTCTGTGGCAGCAATTAGAGTCGCAACTACATAGCTGTGGCACTGCTTGCACTGTGCTGCAGCTGAAGTCAGGGCTTGAATTTGATTCGCTTTTTGGCTGCGGCTTTTCTCAAGTCTTATATACTCGTTCATACATACATTTATGGCCTCATTAGCGTCAGCAAAATATTCATTTGCTTGTTTAATTATTTTATTTAGCTTACGAATTTCGGTTGGAAATGTTATCCGGCGTTGTGGGAGCTTCTGAATGCGAATGCAGACAGTTCCAGTACGGTACAGTCTCTCATTACCATCCAACCCACAAAGCTCATGCCATGCCCATCACTATCCAACTCCCACTCAAAAGGTATCGAATATCCAAAGATCCACAACAGAATTTGTTGACAAAAATAACAAAAAGAAAGGAAAGAGGAGAGTCGAAATGATAACGGAAACAGGCAACAGAGCAGGGAGCAGAGGCTGCACCATGGGCTATAAATGAACAAAAACTGCGCAAAAACGATCCAATTACTGATTTTGCTTGAACTATCAGCAAATACTTGTGCAAATAGACTCGTGCATTTGTGTGAGACAAAAAAGATATCCAATCCATTTTTAGAGCAAATATGGTTTAAAGAACACATTAGCCGCAAGGCTGTGTGCGTCAGAGTCCGACCGTCCGTGAATGGGTTTTGGGTTTGTTTATTCAGATAGAGTCTCTCGCTTGGGACTGGAGTATAGAAAAGTCTTAATAAAGCATTCTTCACCTCAATGCCATTAGGGTTAAATGGGAGAACTTCCTCTACATTAGCTCCAGATTGAAGCTTGGGGAACTTTAAAGAGCAAAAATTCCGTCCCTTTTGTTAGAGTGAATTCAAGTTTTAGCACTTCCTTTGCCCATTGTGCAGTGGTCTTTGTTCTGGCACATTCTCCGATTCCGCTTATGCCTCGACTTCTCAAGTTGCAGCCAGCGCCAGCCACAGTTCCAACTTGAAGCTTCAACATCAATTTATGTATTCTTCCAATCACACGGGCAGGCACACGGGCCAAGGCTTTGGCTTTGGCTTGGACTTGGTCACATCATCTTATAAGTTTAAAGCTCGTTTGGCCAAAAGGGAGCAGCAGCAGAGCAGTAGGAGGAGGAGGAGCTGGAGGATGCCTGTGGTTAGCCACAGAGCCACGTCCCAGCCGGGCAGCAGCCCCCACTTTGAATTGGAGTTTGGAGTCGAACAATGCCTGGCTGTGACTTGATCCAAGTTGCGTTCTGGAAACCGGTTGCCCGCCTGGAAATGAGTTTCGTGCTCGATTTTCTTTGCCAATTTCGAGTCACTGGACCTGGGGATGTATTTCTCCGGTGGGGGCACTCTGATCTGGATCGGATGTGGACTGTGCCTTACCCTTTCTTTACCCCTCTAAGTTGACACTCGCATTAATTTGGGTGTTGCACATTAATTTATGCGTGTAATTCTGTAATTAATTTCAAGTTGATTGGTTTTTGGCCCTGCATTTTCTCAGTGCACGAAACGGAGCACTTCCCTCGTTGAGGTCAATGACGTGTTGCCTGCTGACTGCCGCCGCCTGCAGCTGCTTCAAAGTCAAAGCCATTCAGCAAACTTTACAAGCAACATCCCGTCCCAGACCAACCCAACCCAACCCAACCCATTGCATTCGATCCCATCGTAGGCTGAGTGGGAACCCTTAGGTCTCTACTGCTCCTTGTACAGCTTTTGGTTATCATATAAAGTAGTCATCGCAGAGGGGGAACAGCGCGGAGCTGGGAGCTCCTCCTCTGTTTCGAAACTAGTTTCGATTCGCTACATTTTCGTGGGCAAAAGTGCGCCTCTTTTGGCCTGTCTGTCTGTCTGTCTGTTGGCGGTGCCCAAGATGTTTGTCTTGTCATGCCCACCTACAGCATCAGAAACAGCAACAGATTCGGTTCTAGCCAAAGGAGAACTAGAGCTAGCACATCTGAGGCTGTGGCCTGCTGGAGCTCTGTGGCTGTGCTGAATCTTCGCCTGCCTGCAGAGGGCTTCGTCTTCTCGCTGCAGAAGAAAGTGTTGTTGAAGTTGAAGACTTCTTTTGGGTTGCCGCTGACTGAACATTTATCTGAGTCAAGTGCATTGAACTTCCCTGCGTCTCTGCAGCAAGCTTGCCTCCATCGAGGGGGCGTGGCAGCAGCACATCGTTACGCCCATCAGCCATTCATATTTCTTACACTTTGCTGCATTTAGACAAACAGCCCAGGAATGGCAGGGATGCTACAGGAATGCTACGCGAATACTCGAGTACCAGCACTAGGACTAGGCACAAACGAACATTCGACAGACAGCGTCGAAAGGTGAACTACGAGCACAAATTGCTGGAATTTAGTTGCAGTCAAAGGATGTGGATGTGGATGT